GTTAACCTATTTCATGGACTCATCCTTTTTTTTTTTAAACTTACCATCTCTAGGAAGTAGTCTTAACCACCTAAATTGGCAAGATCCCTCCCGCAGAGAATAAAAAGGTGTATCTATAAATTGTCATGTATGCAGATTCATGGCATGCCCAATATCTAGATCATGAACTCTCAAAATGAGACACCCTGTTTGGGGTGCCAAGCACTCTACTGGTACTGAGTAAATAAACTAAACACTATGTAAAATTTGTCTTTTTATTTTCAGAGGCTACAAAAAGTATCTTGAGGGCAATAGAGACTTGGCATATTCTTACATAGTATGTATGTAGGATTTTTGTCCCCAAAACAATGCTATTAACAGAATATATTAATAGGAGTCTGATTATGTCCTAAATTCAGTACTATTTCCATCTTTATTAGAAAACTTCTAAGCTCTAATCATTACATTTTTTAAAATGTGATTTTTGGTTAGGTAGCTTAAAAGGCAGTCTAGTATAATCTAGAGAGTAAGAGTTCTGGCTTTGGAGATTAAGAGTTCTGGCTTTGGAGTTAACTGGCCCTGGATTCAAATTCCAGCTCTGCCACTTACTAGCTATATGACCATAGTCAGGTTACTTCTCTGAGCCTCAGTTTCCTAATCTGTAAAGTGAGAATGAATACCTTCCTATCTCACAATATGACTGTAAGGATTAAAAAGGTTCATGTATTTAAAGTACTTAGCCCAGTTCCTAGCACATATTAAGTGTTCAATAAATGTTAGCTATTTCTGCTACTGAAAAAAGCAGGAAAAATGTTCAAAGGACTTCTTAAGACATGTGAGTAAAATTTAGTTTGAAAAAGGGAAAGTTTAGGAATGACCTGAGGATAGTCATCAAGTTTATGAAGGACTCTTCATTTTTAATATAGAAAAAACCAAATATTTCCTTTAATGGAAAGAGGCAGACCTAGAATAAATGACTCTAACTTAAGTGAGATACTTGAGTTATACAGGAGGATGAATTTCGCAACTGTGAAGAGTGTTATATAATACTGGTCCTGTTTCAGGTTGCTTGGGTAGAATCACAATTTCTTGATATATTTAAAATAAGATAGACAAAAAAATCTATGTTACATGGCTTTTAGGTAATCTTGCCTAAGGGGAAGGAAAGTGAACTAAATGGCCTCTCAACTCCTTCTGTTCCTAGAGTCTGTGATATATGTGACATAGGTACCAATTTTAACAGTAACTATCTGATGTGGATACTCTTTTTCTTTTCTTTTCCTTTTTTTTTTTTGGTGGGATCTTAGTTCCCTGACCAGGGATTGAACCCTGGTCCCAGCAGTGAAAGTGCCGAGTCCTAACCACTGGACTGCCAGGGAATTCCCCCGATGTAGATACTCTTAATGATCTCACCACCTAGTTTCATCCAGCTAGAGTATGTTCTTCAAATATACTCAAGTGTCTCCTTAAACAAATGAAAACGGCAACGATAACTCATAATCTTACTTGGAAATTTGCATTTCTTGGCTAGATGGCTGGAGAATAAGCGTAGATGGTACAGATGTGGTGTCTCCACATATGAATTCAAGAGGAACTAGAAACCATTCTGGAAAAAAAAAATCTGTCTTAATTGCAAAAACAGAGTCTCAAATTATAAAAACCTTAGTAGGCTGGCAAATGTCTCCTGGTCCATCTTGGTGCTTAAAGGTGATGTAAAAGAGATGAATATGTTTGTGTGGAATGGCTTTCCTCCCTGATCCTTCTGGCTGACATGAAAATCTTGGAAAATGGCCTATGGCAGCAAGAACACACTTGCCACCCATACCTCCTGCTCTACTGTGAATTCCCATCCTCTCAAGACTCTGACCCATCTGGCCGCCTATATACTTTCACCTCAAACCCCAGACTCTTCTCTTTATACTTTTCTTTGGGGCAAGTGAGAATCTCTGGAGCCAGCACGAGATACAGACTGGAACCTGTCTTAAAAGCACCCATGGACCAGCACTCCTGTTTTTCATTATTTTCAACGGGAATTCATGACCCACTTTTCACCTAAAATCTAGATGAACAGGAGCCAGGGCAGACTCACAGGATAAAATGCCTTAAAAAGTCAATTATGGAAACTGATTATCTAGTTTACACGTAGCTTACCTACTTACATGAAACTCTTCACTTTTTTTCTCCCTTTCTATTTGATTTATGGCCCTTTTATTGCTTAGACAAATCTACAAAGGGAAAAGTAAATAAGAAAACCAAAATCTGGAATTTTGGTTACTTGATAGTATTTCACGTAAAAATGATGTAATGGAAGGAACAAAACTAAAGGTTAAAAGGTGACTTAAAAATTATTTCAAAATTAAACATACAAATGCTACTCCAGTCCTAGCCCCTATGTAAATTATTTAAATTCTGACATTTTAAGAGAAGGAAAGGGAGCAAAATTATATACCTGGCTCAAAAGTTCTCTCCTTCTGCCACTATTCCTCAATGCTGGATGCCCACAGCCTCAAAATGGCTACAAAACACCTTTCCTAAGGGAATTCCCTGGTGGTCCACTAGCTAAAACTCCATGCTTTCACTGCCAAGGGCGCAGGTTCAATCCCTGGTCGGGGAACTAAGATCCCACGAGTCATGCGGCACAGCCAAAAAAGAAAAGAAAAAAGAAAAAACCCACACCTTTCCTAAGGTAACTCTTTATATCTCTTATAGCACTCTTTAGTTATGCAACATCACTGTTTAGTAAGCAGTGATACAGCATTATCCGTTTACTGTTGGTGACTTGTCCTAAGTTATATAATGTGTCAGTGGCAGTTATTTAAAAACAGGCCTCATGAATTCCCAGCCCAGCATCCTTTTCATTAGCCTACAACAATATTAGCAGGATCTTATTATTACTTACGAACAATAACTACAACAGGGGCTACCATTTATCAAGTCTTAACCATGTACCAGGTACCATGCTAAATCCTGTATCGTCTCTTTTTTGATTCTCACAATATCCCTGGAAGGCAAGTACTACCGTTATCTCCTTTTGGCAGGCGAAGAAAACATGGTGTAGAGAAGTAAATCAACTTGCCCAGGGTCACCCAGCTAGTTAGTTACTAAAGCTTGTGGTCTTAACCTCCAATACTGTTCTACTCCCTAGATCAAGGAACAAGCTTAGTTATTTATAACTCACTACACTTGGGCAAAAAAATTAACTCCCTACACCATACCATTAAAAATTAATCAAAACCATTTATAATAGTGAAATCTGTACAAAGTTCTGATGCTTTCTGCACAAACAGGTACAAATAAATTAAATCTCCATTGAATTCAGCAATACTGCCAGATGAATGCTGCTGCTTCATATAAAACTAGGCACTGCATTTGTTAATAACACAGTAACATCAGGGACCAAACCTGCTCCTGTTCTGACTAGAGCAGCCATGTCAAATAACAAAAATGCTAACAAGTCAGGATGTAGATGCATTTTCCAGGAATATTCATAATGCCAAGGAATAAATAATGGGGTGATAAGGGTTACAGTACAACTAGCTTCAAGTAAATAGTATTCTTTCTTTGTACCCAAAGTTGTTTTTAAGGACTAGGAAATAAAAACATAACTGCTCTGGTTCTCAAAACTCAGCAAGCCACAGTAACATGAAGAAATCTAAAACCACCAAATTAAAAAAAAAAACGCATTTTTAAAAAAATGCAGCATTCTATTGCTATCTACAGTTTTGAGGGTGGGGAATATAAACATTTTCACAGTTAAGGTCTCACTACAACAAAAACTGTCTGACCTCTGAATTCCCATTTGTGCCAATACTGATTCTAGGGTTTGAGACTATTTATCCTTAAAACAAATCTCAAATGTTATCTTTGAACATCTTCGTATTGCTTTTCTCTTTTTTTTTCAACTAATACTAGAAAACTGACTACTTTTCAAAATAGATTATTCCTGACATCAAAATGATAGCCCCCGGGCTTCCCTGGTGGCGCAGTGGTTGAGAGTCCGCCTGCCGATGCAGGGGACACGGGTTTGTGCCCCGGTCCGGGAAGATCCCACATGCCGCGGAGCGGCTGGGCCCATGAGCCATGGCCGCTGAGCTTGCGTGTCCGGAGCCTGTGCTCCGCAATGGGAGAGGCCACAACAGTGAGAGGCCCACGTACCGCAAAAAAAAAAAAAAAAAGATAGCCCCCCCTTTCCCATTAGATTCTTTACGAAATATGAGATTACTTAGTGCCTAGGAACATAGATATATGTTCTGCCAAACCCATCTTTAAAATAATGAAACACTTGATAGTGGAGCTACTGAAGGTACATTTACAGATGTAATTTCAATAAAGAGCTCAGAGGAGAAAAATAACCAAATGAGAAGACACTGTCTCAATGTAAACCATAATGTATTAAATAGCAACAGAGACGACACTACCTCTCCAAAAGAGCAATACAGTATCTTGCCAAACTGGTTACTTGGTAGTGAAGACAACTGTAGGAACATTACACTCAGCACAGCTTCAGAAAAACTGTAAGATTCACCAAAAGTTATCCAAAGTCAGAAATGCTGTGTTGTATAGCTGAACCATGGTAAAATACGTTGTGCAGCAACTACTAACATTTTCCTGTTGAAAGGGTTCTGTCATCTTCATTTGTAATGATCACAATTACTTTATTAATGGAAAATGAAAACATTTCAGAATTTTAATTATCAAAATATACGTGAATGAAGACTTTAATACATGAAATATTCAAATTAAGCAAACTGCTTGTTTTGTAAGTCAACATGGCCTCCAAGAAGATTTTAATTCTTTTTGAAAAGAAAAAAAATGAATATACATATTGATTCACTCCTTTTTCACTGATTGACAAATAAGTTAAACCTAGCCTTGCAATTTGCTGATTTGGGGAAAAAAATAAGACTGCAATTTAAAAAATTACACTCAGTTAATAACATGATACACTCTAAAATAAGCAATTTCCTCCTTAATGAGCTTAAAGTAAGTTTTATTCTCAAGAGGCAGAAATACCAACTTACCAGCTTCGTGCCTCTTTTAATTTCCTTTTGGACATCTTCAATAGAAAATCCACCAAGACTTTCGTTATCAGAGTGTGATGATACCAAAGCAGATGAAAAGAGCTATAAATTACATTTAAAAAAAATTAAGGTTCATATATAAAGAAATTACAGTGAAACAGTGAATAAGATGCTAAATTTAAAAGGAAATATTCAAGTAAAAATGGCATAGCATTAGGGAGAAACCATTTCTTAGAAGTTTAACTGGTTTTGCTGTTTTGTTTTGTTTAGTAATCAGGAATATTCATTATTAAGATTCTCATGGTTTCAGATCTCTTGGTTGCTGCGGGCATACTTACCATGCACTTATGGTGTGCTGCCACCTTCTGGTTTTCAGATATTAGTAACTGTCCACATTCCTTGTCTCTATTTGACTTACAAAAGCCACATTTGCGCTGTCTTGTAGGCCCTTTTTTCTGTTCAACTGAGCTTGACATGATTTTTAAATTGCCTTTAGAATGCCACTTTATGTCTCAAGAAATGCTACAGAGAATAAGAAGGGCAACAAAATGGTTAATTTTGTTTTAAAAATCAGTTTACACAGTAATATAAATTGCTTAATATTTGACCTAGGTCTTAATATATGCATTTAAAAATAGCTATTTAGTATAGACAAATTAATATTCAAACCTCTGTAATTTTAAAAAATGTACAGCATATGCATAAAGATAAGTTAATGAAGTACTGAGAAAAATCAAACTGCTCTCAAATTAAGGGACATGTGAAATAATTAGAACTATTTCTGCATGGATACATAAAACACGAACAGTGTATGATATTAAAATAGTCATCTGCTGACATAATTAATGAAAAACATTTTTCATGTATAGCTAGCTAGGTGCCCCTTCAAGGAGACAAAGAATTATACATCTAAGAGCAGAGCAAAAACTAATAAGAGAACTACACAATATCCAGGGTGAACAGAATTCTATAACTGCACAACTCCTTAAAGCTCACATATTGATAATCCAACAAATGAGAAATGAATTTACATAACCATGACTTTGGAACACTTATTTTTAAAAGTTGAATTATTTTCAAGTTTAAAAAAACCATGTATACATCTTTATTAGTTTTTGCTATTGTATTCCTTTTGCAAGTAAGGAAAACATTCAGCTTTACACCAGTCTATTCAAAAACGCAGACTTTAGGAACCAATCATTTATAAAAACAACTGTATTACCTGACTCTGAGAGTTACTCCAAAAATATGCTTATTAAAGTTACAAACTGACAGTCGTGTTCTAAATGTAGTAACTTTCATACCTTAATTAGTAATACTGTATAAAGAAAGGAAAATTTTTCTGAATGAGCCTTAAATTTAGTCAAATTATAACTATAGGTAGTATAGTCAAACAAAAAAAGGGAAGAAAAGCTCTAACATGGAAGGTTTCAGATTTAGATCATCAATCTCAACATGGATTCTTCAGAAGACTATAAACAAATGTAGAATCAGTTATTTGAATTGTGGAGGTTTCCCAAATCAACATAACTAAGCAGTTCAGGACCCAGGTTACCACAACACACATTACAGTCAATAAAATCTCAAATTTTTGTGTTAACATTTACTAAATTCTTTCCATTCCTCCATACATTTGAACATTTTCAAAATATGTTGAAAAAATGGACTCACTAACACTACACTGTTTCTTTCTGAGAAGCACTTGCTCACCAACAAGAACAGGAGCAGTTGGAAGCCAGCAAGGTGGTAGCTGCAAACCATTCAGTGCTTTACAATGTAACAATGCAAATACTTAAAACTGAACACGAAGTCACAAAGAAACAGGTCTTCTCAGCAATTTACATCTAGGTTTTTCTCTTTAATGAAACTTCAAAGGCCCTGACAGTCTCTGCATTGATGGGTTTAACAAACTCTTAAGGCTATTTACAATTTTAAATACTTCACTCTTCCAAATGGCATCGGATACTTTACAACAGTACTGTATTCATAGCACTGGCTATAAACCGTGAAACTGATTGAAAACAGGCAGCAAATACTTTTAGGATTAAAGAAAAAAAAAAAGAACATAACAGAGAAACAAAAGAAACAAAAGGGGAAGTGTGTTTGCATTTGCTCAGGCAAATATGTGTTCAGTTGCTTTATCAAGAATGTAGCTGCCAACATCTTTAGAATTAAATATGCAAAACATCAAAATTCATAAATAGCTCCAGAATTTGCTACTTGAGTTCTAAATTAGCTTTCTTTACTACTGTGCAATGAACAGTAAGCACTCTGAAAGCACTGTAATGTATTCAGCATTTCTCCTGGTCATCCTTGGCCAGCTGAAAGGATGGCACATTATGAATCCAATCTATACAGACGTCTTAATGTGTAATTTCTGTACAACCTTAGCATAAGCTATAAAAACAGCTTAAGACAAAGTAAATTCCTAGATTAGAACATCACTTTTTATTCTTAAAATTAATTCTGAAAATGGTGTCCCCAAAATTCTACCCATATTGAATCCTGCCTCTTTCCATTTATAAACAGGTAAATTTCTCATCCTAATTTTGAGAACCTACTTTTCTAGGTATCAAAGACCCCAAAATCTAAAAGAGAAAAAAAGGTACACTTTATTTTGCATTCAAAAATACTCTAGTGTATTTTTCCTGTAATCAGTTTAAATATAATTTGTAAAGTGAACAGAAACGCACATAAAAGTGCACCAAACCAATTAAAAACTTTCCCCAACGTGCAATGAGTAAATGGATTTTTCCACTAAAATTCAAATAATGCATCTGTGCATATCTTGCTAATTTTTTTTACAGCCTCCTTGTAAAACATGAAGTGGAGAACATCATGGAAACAATGACTCCTAGTAAAAATGTCTTCATCATAAAAATGCAGATTTTTATCTAATGCTGTCACATTTGTGGTCTCTACTTGAGGAGAATAAGGGCATTCCAAGGACCAATATTAAGGGGTTCATAATGATCCATACAGTATATGGCATTTTAATTTTAGTCTAAAAGGTTTTTCAGGGCATGCGGAGATCAAACTTTGATGCTTCCACCCAACAATGAAACCTTTTCCTTAAAAGAAACATAGCATTATGGATAATGTTATAAAGCAGAAATAAAGAGGCAAAGATAACAGCGTGAGAAACATAATTTACATGTCCGAAAAAATATAAAAACCCGATTAGTTAGGCTGAAGCAATCAGTGCATTTCAGATTTTCCAAGATGCTTTAAAGCACCAAGGTGGAAATAACCTGAAACATCAAGGAGAGCATTCAAGAACCAACTCGAGAGCTCACTCAGTGTCTGATATCTGAAAGACCATTTTCACGGAAAAACAAAACAAAACAAAAACTGCAGTTCCGGAAGATCAAACAATTCCACACGCAAGGAAGTTGAAATATACAGATCAAAATATATAAACGATCCAAGAAGCAGTATTTCTGTCAGGAAAGTTACACTGGAGAGAAATAAACGAATAAGAGATGAACCGGAAGGGCACCTGAATTTGGTTGCACGATATTATTACATGCTTCGCACTGCTTTTTGCGGTTATTCAAAAGGAAACTAAAGGAATTTTCCAGTTGTTTCAAACCCAAGGGTAGAGAAAGAATTTGAACTGTATGAATAAGACCTGATATTACGTAGTAAGCCGATAAAAAGAAAAGGTTTTTCGAAATTAAAGGATTTTTCAACTTCCACGCAGAATATCGAAACGAAGAAATTTCAAAAGAATGCCGTGCTGCTCGTCCATATAATAAAGGATGGTACACATAACGTACCGGAGCCTCTCCGTTATTTATTCCTCAATACACACTAGACTCCAAGATCTCCCTCTAATCAAGCGCTAGATAAACTCGCAAAACTATCTTCCAATAAAGCACTTTAGCAGGTTCCTTTCGGTCGTAAAGTCAGGGTCCCCTAATTGTCCTTTTCCAATCCTCCTGGATCCAGGAAAATATCACCCTACCACTTTCTTTAACCCTCCTCCCGCCAGGAGTTCGTCCTCTAATAGTCTTCGTTTCCTATCTCAGTTTCACCCCTAATTCCCCCCACCCCGGAGTTTTTCCTCATTCCGTAAGGTTACCCTTCTTGCCATCCTAACAATTCTTCCTCTCACTCTTCCCAAACTGGGAGTCTCCCTCCTTCCCAAATATGTCCTAAGCGATGGCAAAGGCTAAAAATTCCCGGTATTTTGTCCTCCTTAAATGTTGCGCCCCCTCCCCCGAAGTCTAGGCTTAAGCCTAACCTCTCCCTTGGCTCCTCCGAAGCACTTTTCTCAGCAGCCTCTCTGCCAAGCGCCTTCAATGAGCGGCGCTTCTGGGGTCCCTGACAATAAAGCGAGACCACCAAGAGTCCCCCTTAACAACGGGCAGGGGCGGCGGCCTGGCCACCGCCATCCTCCTTGTCTTCTCCCGCCGGGCAGAGAATGGGGGGCCCCAAGGTACCGTGGGGACTCACCGGCGGGGCCCAGAGGCGAACGGCAGGGGAGAAGCGCCAATGAGGGGAAAGAGAAAGAACTCGGTCTTGGTTCTCCGGCAGCGCCTGGGAGCGGGGTTCTGTCGCCGGAGGTTGTTTCCTTTCATTCGAGAACAGACGGGCTCGCGGAGCGCCCTTACGTCGCCCCCCTCGCACGCAACGACTCACATAGCGTTAATACGTCTCGAACGCGCCGCGGGCCCTGATTGGCTGCAGCGAGGAGGCAGCTGAAGCCGTAGAGCCACAACGCATGTGCAGAAGCCACCCCCGGTACGGATCGGGGCGGCAGGCCCCGCCTTCTGCTCGCGCGCGTACCTTCTATTCTCCGGTCCGCCGCTCAGCCAAGTGTTTGGGGGCAGGATCCGAGGAGATAGAGAAAGAGATTCAAAGATATCGCTGTGGGTTGGGCGGAGAAGGGGCTGGGTTGGGACTAGAAACCGTTGGCCAGAGGCCCCGGGTAACCAGTTTTCAACAGTGATTCAAGTGGGTAGGCCTTATCCCTTGCACTTGTTCACCGAGGCCTTTTCATATCCATTATTTCATTGTACTCTCGTGGCATCCCTTTGAGGTCCCCCGTTCTCTCGTTTTACTGCCAGGAAAGACTGAGAAGCTCGTAGTGGAGTCAGTCTGCCTGGATTTCAATCTTTGGGCGAATAATTTTTCATCTCCGTGCCTTAAATTTGTGTCTTTAAAATGGGGATAAAAATAGTATCTCACGGGTTTATTGTGAGGAAGAAATGAGATAATGCCAGTAAACCGTGTATTAGCGTCCCTGGCGTATAACAGGCCCTGTATAAATTCTGAGATTTTTCATAATCAGAAAAGATAAGTGATTTTCTTCATATTTCACACAAGTAAACCTGACACCTAAACTGAGCGCTTTCCTCTGATGTATGAAGCCAGATTGTGTGGGTTTGAATCTCAGCTCCCCCACTTCTAGCTCTATGACCTTGAGCACGTTGCATTACCTCTGTCCCTCAGTTTCAGCACATCCAAAATGGAGATCACAGTGGTGTCCATCTCATAGGATTGTTAAGAGAAATGAGTTAATATATGTAAATCACATAGAATAACGCTTGGGCACATAGTATGCCCTATGTAAGGGTCAGCTTTTGTTATTTTCTACTGGGCTCACAGACTGCTAGCCAGTGGTTTAAAAGAAAAGAAAAGAAGTTCCTAACAAACCAATGAAATTTTAAAGATGCCCTTCAAGTAGCTATTTTTCCTGTAAAAAAAAAAGGGGGGCGGGGGAAAGCAGTGGATTTTCATTGTTTTGATCCACTGCTGTTTCTATGCTGCTTCATCATTCTTTTTATTTTTCACTGCAATGACAACATTAAATTGTAATCCTCAAGGGAACAGTAACCATGTTTGATGTAACCTTGTATCCCATACGAACAGGTACCTAATAAGGGTGGATAAAGCAGCACCCTTAGCCCTTTCACCCAGGCCCTGTACCCTTGAAAGGGAGTGGCTGGAAATTTACATAAGAAGATCCAGAATGTGTATTCCAAATATTCACAGTGTGTTTGAAAACAGGTCCTCCCCCCAGGCCCAGCATCATTTTCCACCAACTTTACACACTTACTGATGTCAGGATGAGACTGAAGATTGTGTAATTGACAAAATTTAGTGCCTGTGCAGTATGTCATCTTTTTAGATTTCTTCACAAATCCCCATATTTTACTCTCTTTTATTCATTCTCTCATCCATGCATTCCTTCTAACAAAATTTGATTGAATAAACATCTGCACAGCTGCTAAGTTCCAAACACAAGAGAGACATAGATCAACTCAATCCCTGACCTTGAGCTCATGGTCTAAAAAGGGAGACAGACAAGCAAACAAACACAGTATGATGTGATAAATGCTATATTAGGTGTGTGCCTGGTACAGACATCCTCTATTATGTACAAAGCACTATGCTAAGGTACAATGCAACAGTGAATAAGACACAGCCTTTGCCCTCAACTATTTACAGTCTAACAAGGAAAAGACAAATAGCTACTATAGAGGATGGACTGCAGCACGTGCATTTGCGGTGGAAAGGAAGTGCAGGGAGAGTTCAGGAGAGGAAGAGATCAGTGACTCCAGTTAGTTTCAGGTCCCAGGTCTGGTAGCCAGTTCCAGTTAGCATGACTGATACATGCAGCCTGTTATTTCAAGGGCTACAGAAAGGAGTCAGATTGTGATAACGTGCTCTTAACAATGCCTGAGGATAGAGCATTGGATCTCTTCATCTCTTATTGATTCACCAGCACACTTCCACCAACACTCTTCCTTTTCCTTTCACTTTTTGCTTCAGGCCCTAGATCCTGCTTTTTTTTGTACCTCACTCTCAGCAAAGTCTTTAACTTCCTGACTTATTTAGAGTAGGGCCATCTGAGCTAAGCTACTTTATCTTGTACACCCATCCTCTCTGGCTTCCTTCAAGATTCAGAGAGAGAATTGTCCTTTCTGCTTTTTAAAGCTAAAGCTGTGGCTTTAATCACATCTTTTCTGTACTCTGGAGGAACTGATTCCCTACTTATTTTCTGCTCCAGCAGCATCAATTGCCCTGCTCTCATTTACCTTCAGTGCTAGACTCTACCTTCACTGCCAGACTGTGTTCTTTCCCTCCCATTGCTCTCCCATCACTCATTCGGCAGACATTTGCAGATATTTTCTGTATGCCAGGTATTATGCCAGACATTGGACATTTGAAAAGGAGTAAGACACGGCTCCTGCCTTCAAGGAATTCTCAGTCTAATGAGAAAGAAAAACAGGTATTTCTAATAAGAAAGAAAAACAGAATTTCAGTGCAATAGGTGAAATGCTATAATAGAATTACATACGGCAAAGTTTGGTGGACTCTGTCCAGTGGAGCAGGAAATACATCCCTGGGGAGGAAATGTTTTGAGTTGGGTCTTAAAAGACAGGTCCAGATCCATCTTCACAACTTTTCTCCGTCTTCATTCTTGACGTCTCTGTTACGTTTGACACTTTAGGCCATTTACTTGTTCTGAAACTTTCACCTTCCTTGTCTTGTAACATGGACTCTGACTCTGGCTCCCTGGCTGCTATTTCAGTCTCTTTTGTAGGTTTCTCTTCTTCTCTTTTTAAATGCAGGCTTCTCCCTAGACAGAGTCCTAGACCCCCACCCCCTTCCAGTCCAGCCAGTCTTAAACTTTGGAAGTTTGTTAAAAATGCAGATTCTTTGGCACCACCCCGGAGGATTCTGAAGGTTTGGGTCCAGGAATCTGCCTTCTTAAACTGCCCAGATAGTCTGATGCCAATCTGTTGAGGACCACACATTAAGAAACTTCCCTCATTCTTTTTTTGTAGAATTGATACAGTCTCTTGACTTTCACTACCCTGTAAACAACCATTTAGCAACTGCATCTGCTCTGGTTAGATTAGCCCTGTCCTTGAGCTCAAATCACTATGTCTAGTACAAGCAAGTTCATCCTATCCAGCAACTAAAAAGTAATTTTTTCCCCATCTTCAGTGTTTTTGTGTAAGATACCGCTAACATTTCTGCTCCTGCCTAACCAAAAAGGCTAAATTCACGTAGTGCCTAAATTCACTCCCTTCTAGCTGTAATCAACACCAGTGGATTATGCATTCATTCATTAAGTACCTATTGATCACCTACTATGTGTTAGATAAATATGGACATGGTCCATTTGGGTGTAGTGGGGGAGAAAGACCTTAATCAATTAATCACATAAACCACTGTAAAATTATGACAACTTTTGCACGATTGGTTCAGAAGGAAGCAAATGTCACTTACATGGAACTGAAGTCTACTTGTGTTTTGTATGTTGGATACATTTTATATTTTTTATTCTTTATTTTTAAAGTTGATGGATTAAGTATATTAAATGTTTCTGTGAAAAACGATAGAATGCTATATATTTGTGTGAGATGCTGCATAAGAGTCAGAAGACCTGGGTTTGAATTGCTGGCCTGTCACTAACTAGCAGTTACCTCGGGTTATTCATTTGACTTCTCTGAGCCTTTGTTTATACATCAGTCAAATGAGATTACTGTTACTTGCAAAGCTGTTATGGAGCACAAGGACAGATAATGATGTACATTAAAGTTCTTGCCCCAATAAATATGAAGGACAATTATTATTATTCTTTGTATCCCTTAACTGCCATATCATCTGTTTGGTCTTCCTGCTAATGTAGGCTACCAGCATTTGGTGCCTATGCTCTTCTACTTAGGTTGTTTTTTCTAAGTTTTTTAAAAAATTAATTTATTTTATTTTAGGCTGCATTGCGTCTTGGTTGCTGTGCGCAGGTTTTCTCTAGTTGCAGCGAGCGGGGGCTACTCTTCAATGCAGTGCGCAGGCTTCTCATTACGGTGGCTTCTCTTGTTGTGAAAGCATGGGCTCTAGGCGTGTGGGCTTCAATAGTTGCAGCACAGGGGCTCAGTAGCTGTGGCTCGCGGGGTCTAGAGCACAGGCTCAGTAGTTGTGGCGCATGGGATTAGTTGTTCTGCGGCATGTGGGATCTTGCCGGACCAGGGCTTGAACCCGTGTCCCCTGCATTGGCAGGCAGATTCTTAACCACTGAGCCACCAGGGAAGTCCCTCTACTTAGTTTTTGTTGTTGTTGGCCACCCTACGGAGCTACCCTTGTACCTAAGTGAGGAGATGGGGACCTCGGGAGACTTTGTGTTGATGTCTTTCCCTAGTTTAGCAATTTGAAGCTGGGTGTGGAGAATGGACAATGGAAAAGAGAGTAGAAAATGGAGAATGGGAAAGAGACTGTAATGAAGAACAGGGAGAAGTGGAATTGGAATGGAATGACATCATCTCAAGAGTTTGTTAATAATACAGCAGCCCAAGCCCCCCACCCCAGTAATTCTGGCATAGATATGAAATGGGGCCCAGCAACTATATTTTTAGCAAGCTCCCCAGGTAAGACTGTTATAGACACGAAAGTTTGAGAACCACTGACCTATAGCCTTCAAGCTGAAAACAAGAAAAAAAAAAACCTTTTCACTTGGGCATGTCATCAGTTTCATCTGAGTGCCCAAGAGACTTCATTCTGATAAATATCATTCTTAGACATAGTTGTTAGTGAGGACATGTGAGGTCACATCCTTATAATTGGCTTTGCCATTGGGTCCCAGGTAATCTTGAGCATC